AAAATTTCAAAAAATCGAAGGACTTGGCAGCGCCATAATTTAATGACACAAAGAAGCGTCAGAAAAACGCGCGACTAACAATAAGAGACAAGCAAAGAGAGCCTAGAATACCGAACAAACCCCCAAATGCGAGGCGGGTTACTTAGCGAAAGGTGCCAGTGCAGAAAGGTGGGGGTTCGCCTTCGTTTTCAAAGAAACCTGTTTGCAGTGGTTCCATGGACGCGTTGCAATGCACGTCGTCGTTTTTTCAACATTTGTAAACAGTCCCTACATTATGGTATTCGCAAAGGTAACAAAATTCGCTAGTATAAGACTGTTTGCTTGTCACATTAGGAAAAGATGAGTGTTGTAGAAACGGTCGCGAGGAACGCGGTGGCAGCAGTACATGAGTAGGAGGTAAGGAGTAACAAAGCACTTAAACTAACCATTCGACCGCATTCTTGATTTTTCATGCTCTCCTCATCTTCCCGCAACTTCTTCAGTCTTTTGTGAAACACTTTCATCTGGAAGATTAATGACCAATTTTTGAGAACTTGAGCACATTGAAAGGAAATTGACATTTTGAGCATACCTTGTACTCTGGTGTATCACTCTGCCATTCTACATCTCTAACAACAAGTCCGATAAGGATAATGATAGAGAGAACCACAGAAATTGCTATGATTGCTGGACCTATGTCAGTACCAGTTTCGGGTACAAACTAAAATAACAATTTTAGATTACAATTAACAATTCCAACTTTTAAACCTTGAAAGCATACTGCGCGATGGCTTAGGCAGAGTTATGAGGTTCAGACGTGGAATGGTAGGTCCCCATTGAATACCCAGTTACAACAAAAAAGGCAACCGAATTGCTGAAAACATTCGAAACAGCGATAGCTCGAAGGCTACTCAATGGTATCCGAACGAGAAGAAACGGCCACTTGGCCGCCCTCCTTTACGTTGGGCAGACTCTTTGGCATACAGAAACAACGTGTATGATCCTGTGTCCCTTAAGGTGGCCGTACACTGGACAACGAAAGCCCAAGACCGCGAGCAATGGAAAAGAAGTTGGGACCCGCGCAAGGCCAACCGCCGTGCTGATCAACGGGTCGTCTAAGTATCTAAGCAAGTGTGATATCCTTTTCTGCCGAAGGGGAGTCTTCGAGGCGAAAGTGTGAAGGTCCCTGCGTATAGGGACGAAATGGGGCGCATGCATAGTCGGTCGTCCGACAGCAACGATCGTAACTGTCGCACAGCATTCGATGCGTATCGATCGTCAGACTTGCCTGAGTATTCGACGTTACATCACGTATCGTTGCGGTCAGGACGCCCGACTATGCATGCGCCCACAGCTTCCACACTTTTGTGTCGTGAAAATGACCCCATCTCCGTGACTGTGAACCCAGTAAATTTACAGGAAACATTGATCCAGAGTTCTGTCTAGTCGCAGAATATGCTTTAATCATAACCATATACAGAAAGAGAAAACCTTACATATTTCAGAAATAATGGGAATATTATGGTTCCGACACCAGTACCAGAAACAGCTAGAGCTGTAGCCACTCCTCTTCTCAATTCAAAGTTATATGTTACAATGACGATGGCAGCATTGTAGACTAATGAAAGCCCTGTAAATGAACAGAAACATTACACATAAAGTGCCATCATAAACGTTACACATGACACAGTCTCTTGTAAACAGCCGAGATTCGCTTCAATTCGCCCACCTACTCCTATCAATCCTCCAAAGCACAGGGTGAACATTAAAATTGACTGACAAAAATATGATGTTACCGCTCCAGCGCAACAGATGATTCCCCCAATCAAAATCGTCCTTCTGAAATAAAGTACAGTCCTAGAGACGTTCGTGAACACTACAAAGCACACAACATGGCATTCTTACCTCACCCATTAAGCGACCGAACGCGCACGCTGCCTAACTCTCAGCAGATGTCATTCGTGACCGTAACTGATCAACCAGCTAACATGGGCAAATTCATCTAATGTAGCTCATACGTTGTAAAAATTTGCTGCAATTCTGTGGGGTTATCCAATTAGCACGACTGAACGACCAATTCGGTCCCTTGTGTCAGTATAATTCGCAAAACCCTGGTTGAGCCTGTTTCCCTCGCAACCGAAATCAAATATTCGTGCGATATAGCGACGGCTAAGACGAATAAGGCTTCACCAGGCAACCAACCAACATGAGATTAGCAGCGAGTGTGGCTTCTCACTCAAAAAATCCATGCTCTTTACATAATGCACTCTTCATTACCGCAGAATCCAAAGACTATCAATCCAATTTCGCTCGAATGTGAATCCAAAGCATAAGAAAATGGAGGGAAAGAGCAAATAACAAAAAAAAAACAGCAGGCTACAGGAAATAATGTGGCCACTCACTTGCAGTCGCACACATCAGTGATGAAGCCGGCGACTGGTCCCAAAAGCAAAGGAAGTGATAAGAATAAAGATGCTACAGAACTGGCTCCAAAACGCTTCGCACCGAAACGCTGAACAAACCCTGGATTAGCCGAGTACAACACTGAGGGAAAGTCTACATGAAAATTACCTCCTGAATTTTGGGGAATAGCACACCAAAACTGAAAGAGAGACCGTCCGCAATGAAATGAAGGATAAAACTGAATGCAACCACAACCCAACCATATCTGGAAACATTGTTGGAAAAGAAGCTAATGTACGAGCCCTACTGTTTGGACGTGGGGTTGATATTGATTGATAGAAATAGTTCTTGAGTTGTTGGCGACCAAATATTGACTCTTACTAGCCAATAACTGTCGAAAGGATTCCATGAATTGCTGGAGTATTGAAAAAATGCTAATATTCACCCTCCATTGAGATATTTCGGTTTTTCAGTCAAACTGCTGTCCGTTGAGGAGGTATCTGATGACTCAGCTGAAACTACAACGTCGATAAAAACAATAGTAACATATTGTATTTCCAAAGATGATTACCGATGGAATCGCGTGAAGTAAAGTGCACAGCTTTCGGTGGCTGATTTGCTGCCGGCACATATCCAGGTTGCTATAAATAGGAAAGTTCAGTTAAAAATAGAGCTACCTACGGCCGATGACAGACTTTGCGAATTCAGCGATACGCTAGCGAATTGCGGGATACGTGCGTTGCACCAGCGAATCGAGCCGTGTACCAGCGGTATTGGCTATCGCCACTTTCCCAGGCTCACGAGGGCACGACAGAGTGACGGAGTATGAGAGCTCAGGAATGTGGCGAGAGTCAACATGCAAACGAGAGGGAGTTCCGCCACTTTCAAACAGTGTTGAGTCGCTGGTACATCGTTCGATCCGCTGGTACATAGTTCGATCGCTGGTACACAGCTCGATTCGCTGGTGCAACGCTCGTATTCCGCGATTCGCTAGCGAATCGCTGTATTCGCAGTCTGACATCGGCCTACATGGCCTGTCAATGAGCAGTAATGCATTATCAAAACAATTCTTAGAGAAATAGGGGACTTTGTATCTTGACCCATGGTTTAATCCGCCACATGTGCTCTCGATGAAAAAGCTTCAAAGAAACAAAAAAAGCAAAAGCAAAAGACAGTCTATTTCATAATGACGGTGCAGCACACGGCGAGATTTGATCGTGGGCTGCGTAATGACACGTACATCTCTCTAAAGGCGCGCTGCGCGCCAAGTATGAAAGCGGTCTAACAGGCTGTGGAAGAAATTTCAGCCATCTTCATTGGTCTAACAAGAGCAGACCAGAAAACACTTCCCTGTTTCGCAACAACTGAACTAGAAACAGTTATTCCCAAGTACTGAGTTTTCATGTGAAGAGCAGTATGAATACATTTACAAGATTGTGCCGGCGCGCACGCAATTTTTGCGGTGTTTTTTCATTTTCTTGTCCCAGGATGTTTACCATGTTTTTTTTTTGACATTTTTTTCACTCTGGCGCCAAAATAAGAAAAAAACGGCTCCGCACAAGAAGAGAAGTTCGCTTCCCAGACTTTCTTGCTTGCTCTGAAATTCACGAAACCATCGAGAAGAATAAGACTCTTTTCAACCGTACCAAATCTTCTATGAAAGGTCTGAAACTATAATCGGTGCCACTGGTAGATACCACTTATTTATAGCGCCAAGATCATAAGGAAACCATATACCCTTTAGCGGGACAAGATGGCAGTTTGTACGGGGAGACTCAACGCTTCGCCGCATCAACGTTTCCCGGTAGTTCTTGAGCCTTTTAATAAATGAATTCACCCCAAAGACTCTCAACTTCGATGACCCAAACGGGAAAGCCTGCTTTAAAATTAAACTAAAGCTGTAAAAATTCAAAAAAAAATCATTCTGCAGAACCTTCCTCTGGATTTCTACGTACGTCTAGCGCATCCAAGGTTTACAACTATGATATCGCGCCGAAGGCGACCATGTTAGGTGATCACCAGCCACTACGACTATGACGAAATAAGCCTATGCTGTGAAAGTAACATGTAAAAGGGACAAACCTGATTGGATGTGAGCCAAAAAGCGATGAAATCATCATTACGCAAACGATTGCGTGCGGAAGAATGCCGCCGACCTTCTTGTTTCATCTTAAAAAGTTCATACCAGGTAATCGTTCACATTTCCAACAAACTATCTAAGACCTCTATTGTTACATACTCGCAAAATCAAATATTGTAAGCAATACATGAGAAGGGATGGAAAATGTCTGAAGAGCTTTGTAATCTACGAACAGGCAGAAAAACGACGGCTGATAGAAAGGGGGAGGGGCGGAACGAGTTCAGATGAATCGCCAAATGACACATTTGATGACACGGTAAACCGAATTATGCAACAATGTCGGTCAAACAATGTACACTAAAACGGCTTACCTTGATTTGTGATAGAGAAACTACTGCTACCGGAAGAGATTACCATAACAACAGCCGTTTCGGTGAAGTTAAAAAGGAATCTGCAAGAAACATTTTGTTTCCTTTTCTCACACAAAACAACATTAAAAACGACAACATGCAAGAAGATTTAGACCAGAATACATGAAAATGCACGCCAGTCGCTTGTGTGGAATGACAACGTTTCGAAGACGCGACAAGAAACAAACAGAACAGGAAAATATCACAGCAGTACAAATTTGGGGTCCTCATGCTGAACGGACATTTATACAGTAGGCGCCGCTTGCAGAAACCCCCGGAAGTGAAATGATTCACGCATTCCGGAGCTTCGCTTTGTCAAAATTGAGATTAGTGTGGGCGGTATGATCCTTTGCTCCACATGCAATAACTCCCTTGGAGGGATAGAACACCAAGTTTGATCAAAGAGAACTGTAAAGGGTGAGATTCTACGCCCTGAGAAGCGTCGGAAATCCACATTAGGTGAAGAAGCATATCGATGAGGAAATGGAATTGCTTTCAGCGAGCAGGAGCGGCTGATGCTTATGCACTGCTCCATAGCCACCTCCTCCTGTATCTCCTGGGTTACAAGGCTTCTCTAGACCAAAGAGTGAGTTATAAATGGAAAAGCATACACTTTATGTGGTACTAACAGTAGTCTTTCACAGGCAGTAAAGAAAGTGCTGTAACAGTGTGCATGTATCAAAAATTCAGCCAAGTTCAGCGAAAAACAACTAAAGGGAGGAATTCAATAAATTCTATCTCCTAAATTTATCTCTCACGATGTGTCATTCACCGTACCAAAACAAAAGTCACAGTCCTTGGCACGAAATTCCGAGCGAGTCATCTGGAATAGAGCGCAAATGCGAAATCGTCATAATGACAACGGGAACATTTTCATGTAATAGATTCCATATGCATTCTTATCTATACTGCTCTACTGTCACATATACTACAGTAGGCAGTTCGTTGACCCAGTGATTCATTCGTACGATTACTCACAACTTCTTGCCGCAATCAATAGTATGGAAAACTGCTTAAACCACAATATGGTTCTGTTGGTGGTGAGTATGGGGCCGAACACAGCGCTGTGCTTCGAAAATGTGATCAAGATTGAAACCAATTCCAATTCTTCAAAAAGTATGCTTATTCAGGACTGCATTATATACTCAAAATCGTAGATTCTCATGAGTCACAAAGGGCCAGTCTGCATTCAACTATTTCGCTGAGAGTATTCTGGCCAAATGAATAAGTTATACAGAGAAGGTGTGAAAGCAGAAATCAATCTCCGCATACCTTTCGTGCAATAATATTCAATGAATGGATGGCCTATTACTAGAGACATTTTGGTGCAGAGCACTCAATGCATTCGTAAACACGTCGAATATACTCCATTTTCAGAAATATGAAGATGGGGGATTACGGTCCGGAGAAAAAATCGTCAGCAAGGAAATGACAATTCCTGCTTTTATGTATAAGGGAAAAGGATATAGAGATATAAGGGTCCGCGATCCGTCGCGTGATTCGCGCGAATCGCTAAAATCGCAGGTGCCTCATTTGAACATTTAAAACACTGAATAAAACAAAACATTCTACTTGTTTTATGAATCATGAACAGCTGTCAGGCGCAATGTGACTCGGAGGGGGCCAGTCGCCGCGCGCGGCGTTGCGGCAACAGGAAATTCGTGAGCCAGGGGGAATGTAGCCAATTCAGGGGGGTGGGGGTGAGGGCAGTCACTTAGCATGCGTGAGAAGCTGGAATGTTCCGTGAGAAGCTGGAATGTTCGAGTTACACTACATCGCTGAGCCGCGCGCGGCGACTGGCCCCCTCCGAGCCACATTGCGCCCAGCTGTCATGCAACCATCACCAACAAGCAGAAATGGCGGATGGATTGGAGAGTACCTCGCAGTAATGATCGAGGCACTTGTGAATTCTGAAACACGCCGCGCGATTCGCGCGAATTTCGCGATAGATCGCGGAGTCTGGCATTGGCCTGAAGATAATGCTGTAGGGGAGTGACTGTAGACATTCCCTACTAAGACCGACGTCATAGTCGGCGACGGAACAAGCGATGGAGCGATCGCGATCGCTCCATCGCTTGTTCCGTCGCCGACTATGACGTCGGTCTAAAAGATAAGCCTCCGTCCTCAATAAATCAGCTACTCTACTTCTGTAAAACCGCTCAACTAAAACCACATACATTTAAAAAAGACTACAGATAGACCGTATTTCTTGAGCACAATATGCCCCACGGAATTCAAATATGAATAAATGTACCGAGAAACAAATACACGGCAATGAGCAACAAGTAACACGACAACACCGCAATGCAACTTGTAAGTAAGAAGCCAGAGCCATTTCAAGAGGCGTGTTCTGCATTATACCAAATCCCTCTAAGAGGCTTCCAGGTTCCACTGATCCATGATCCGCTGGCTTTCCTAGCTCCTGAGAAGGCTTCGCCGCGGGATTATTGCATCATGACATTCACTATTACGATATTCACAAGCATAGTCAAGCTTTGCGTGGAATCAGACAGCTGACTAAACATCACAATGTACACCGTTGTCAAATTTTGTTCCGAGATGTGATCTTTGTCCATTAATCTGGGTCCACATTTAACCCATTGCCAATCACATGTTGTACCATTTGCACCACGCGGTTACACAAAAGAGGATTTTATAATTTGTTTATTATTGCATCTTTCCATGTTCTATAAATGTCAGCATACGTTTCCAGAGGGTCTCATCCGGTAAGAGGGGGCATTGCGGTGCACGGTCTGCTCTAATGCCAATTTGGCTCAAGGAGTCCTTTAAAGTTACGAGCTGCTATCAGCTTTTTTCCTATGTTATTTCTTCAGGTGTTTTGTGTAATGTATGTATTCTTGTACTAGATGACATTAACGTCTACGAGAAGTGAAATTCACCTAGTTAGCAGGTCAGGACTAAGCCCAGGAGGGGGAGGAAGTCTTCCCGGA